CAGCTGCCTCTTTCCAGTCTTGCGGCAGCTTACCTTCCTGAAGTGACATGTTGTACAAATCCAAGACAGGATAGTGGAGTATTTTAGCAAGATTCTTGATGATAGCAGGATGCACATCATCAGGTCTAGCCGATTTGTACGGGTCTAACTGTGTCAAGACATCGAGGACCTCGGATGTACTTAATGGGGCGTTTGACATAATACTCTCGACTCGGCGATGAGGCTATGAGGAGATAGGACAGTCGCTGTCAATATGAGATACCTTTTGAAAGGCATCCAGCAACACCTGGGCCTTATCCGCATCATCTGTAGCGTGACGACCATCCTTCAAATATAAGTTGCCGAGCCTCTCTCAATGAAGCTTTCGATTGAATATAACTATAGTATATCTTCGGATTTGTTTTCGCTTTCTGTGCAAACCTTAGCTCATAGCGGTATTTAGCATGTCTATGCAATTTGAATGCCAAGTTCCGGGATCTTATTAGTGTAATAATGTAATGATGTGTCCGCTGTACGCCGTAACGGCGCTTCGCTGGCGCGCGACCACCACTAGTCGCGTGCGGGATGAGTATACCGCGACGACGCCCACCCTTACGCGGAATCGAACAGATGACCTTATGGTTGCAAAGCAAACGTGCAGACCACTCGGCCACCGGCCGAATCTTTTTAATGTAGCCAACGCTTAAACCCTCCGGTTTCCTGAAACATTTTCCAAGAATCGTTGCGCTTCTTTATCGCCCGATCAATTCGCCGACGCCACCAGCGGGGCTTATTGGGATGCTTACTGCGGCGCAATGGAGCAAATTCGTCCAGCAGTTGAACAAGTCCATCTTTGATTACGCTCCATCGCTGTTCTAAAGTGGCTTGTGCTTGCTCAGAAGCCCAGTTGATCTGTAAAACTCTATTCCGTAACTGAGTAACGTTGATGCGACCGAAGTTTCTCACCCGTCGAGGTCTTTGCCGGCCGGTGGCCGAGTGGTCTGCACGTTTGCTTTGCAACCGGTCACCGGTTCGAATCCGCGTAGGGGTGGGCGTCCTCGCGGTATACTCAGCCCGCGCGCGACTGGTGGTGGTCGCGCGGCAGCGAAGCACCGTTACGGCGTATAAGCTGGCACATTTCATTTCATTTTCATTTGCCGATAATCGTTCGGTATTCAGTGAAATTGTGAGAACGGAGTATTCACTCTTACCTATGGGAGCCTCTGCATGAACCTCTGACAAGTGAGTATGCTTTGTTATTATGACATCTAAGGTTGAAGGCGAGCAGCCAATGCGTCTACGCGTCGGGAATTTGACATAATGGACAAAGACATTCACATGCACCCATTCCACCAGATCTCCTTCCAGGATATCTACAGTGCTAGTAGCATGTTCCCAGTCTGCATGCGGAAGGTTCAAGTCACCGATAACGAAAAAGGAGCAGCTGCCATTGCCAATCTGAGTAAACGACTAAGCTCCTTGTTCACCACTCGAGTAGAGGGGATACGGTATATACAGATAATTATCTCAAACCGAGCCTCCAATCTCAGGAAGCAAGAGATAACTTGTACCCTTGATGTCTTTATGAAGAAGCGAGCCCCCGAACTCCCATAGTGGCTCTTGTTAATTAAAAGCACGCATCCAACGACCTGATTTACAGGTCTATCCAATTTATACGCAAGGCTACCAGGCAGTCACTGACTGGATCGCTTTCAGAAAGCCAGGTTTTGCTGACCGCAACTAGGTCAGCAAGCTTACAGTATACGGTCAACTCTTCCCATTTATGCCTTATGCTACAGCAGTTGGTATACCACACTCTCAACCCCGTTCTTTGTTCTTTCCTCTCCGGTACGGTTATTTTGTTTTTCCCCTAGGGCGTAAAACCCGAAAAGATAACCCGTTTTTGAAACATTTAATCGTAATGCATTTCGACAACTGGAGAATGAGAACCCAAAACGGCTTCTTGTAACCCACCGCGAGACGCTTTCCGAGAACTCGATCTTGATTTATTTCCTTTTCCGCCAGTTCCGTCGACCGTTTGACGCATTTGGTCAGGACCATCTACACTTCAAGTTGTGCCGCCGGTAGGACAACTCCGCTCTTTTATTAGATAATGATTGGTGCTAACCAACACACGCTTGCATTCAGCCTCCACAGTGCCCTTCACCACCGAGGATAACGATGCTATTGCCGTTGACGCTGCAACTTCAGGCGAATTTGATCGCCTACAGTTTGCGACTGAACTCGAGATGGCTGCTTCACTCCCATATTCTACCGTCGACAGTGAAGTCACGTCACCCGATAGCACTACCAACTCGGTACTCACATACGGGTCATGATACCCACGCTCTAAAGCCTGAGGGGGGTTACAATACAACGTATGGGCCACAAATTGGTCGTCCTTCCGAGGTACGGTCATGCAGTGTACTTGAGCAAGAGGAATACAATTTTGCGCTGCTTTTAGCTCAGTGTCACAGCATTCCAGAGCAAGAATCTCGCTAACTTGTCAAACAGTCTCGGCCATAATATCATATCCTTGGCTCTATGTCTAGTTACTAGACTGTTGAGATTACATACATAATATCATCTTTCTGGCTTCAGATAGGACTGGCACGATGGGGAAATCCCTTGAGTGTTCCTTCTTGAACGGATAGTTGAGCCAGGAAAATATAAGGTGCTAGGAGGTCTAGCTGGATCTAAAACGAAACACGCGAATCACACTCTGGTCAACCAATTACTGCCCACGTTCCCTGCACTAGGAGTTCTATAGAGGTAACGTGAAGTAAGGAAGAGGCAGAAAGAAAATGGAAGATAAAGTGGAAGGAAAATCAGTTAAATGAAGGATAACACAAAAGAGTGAGGAGAATGACAGAATAAGAACCCAAACTTGGAAACCCTTAACCGTAGATTCACTGACTACTCTTTCTGAAAGCGAGTTCCAGCGCTGGAGAACTGGGCGATAACCGAGTTTCCGCCCTGATCCGGTCGAAACGCGGCTTGTGTAGCTTTATTGGATGACCGCGAAGACAAGGTAACCTAGCCGGGCTAAGTAGCCAGCTCAAGTCCGGTCCAACCTTCCCTGTTCAAATGAGGTAAGTAAGGATTAGGTATTCTGGAAGCCGTCGGTAGTGCACTGAATAGATACGCAAGTTAAACAGACGCTCGGGATACGATTGCCCCCGTAAACCCTCGATCAATTTGACACCTACTCTCAAAACCCTCTCGAGCTCCATTTTGTCCAGAACAAGGCAGGGCGGACAAGTCTGGACGCAGTATTCCAGATGGGGTTAGATTAGCTGGCTTGTTCCGTGCTTCGAAGTCGCGCGGGGACAAACGGTGCCTGTTTGTCATTGCGGCCTACGCCCCTACAAACTGTAGCACTGATTCGGTAAAAGATGATTTCTACCAGCAACTTCACGAGCTCCTTCGTTACAGAAGAAGCACGGATACTGTGGTGCTGGCTGGCGATCTAAACGCCCAAGTCGGTCAAACAAACTCACTCCAATGCGTCCAACTGTTTGCCAATCAGCGTGCATGCGAGAAACGTGTGAACGTCCAATCGATTGCCGCCTTTGCTTGCGGCAGCCTAACGGCTTCCTTGCTGGGCTGACACCGCACGTTCGTTCGAGTGTATACTCCCATCACATGGCGGACAACTTGTATAAGGACCGGCGCAGTAACCGGTGGCATGCATTCCTGAATTTGCCTGGTACGATCTTCCGCGACCAAGCTACGTCCAACTCTGCACTGATAATGTCACATCGAGTGGTGACGAAACATTTGCAACCAAATTGTCAAACTCGGGGAACAAATGAGCAAGTAAATCGTCAACCCGAGCTACCAGTATTCAAAACTTAGGGTTCACTCTAGTCCGCCCTCGCAAGTTTACTTTATATCTGACCGATTGCAGCTGAACCGTCACCATACCGCCCTGCCAAATAACGCGCATGTAACATGCTAGCTATAGACAATCAGCAGGTACTGTGGAGAAATAGTGATAGCTAAAAGAATTCCGGTACCACATCAGCTGCCACCAACTACGGTGGAGGTTATACAGAGAGAGCAGATGATGTGGATTTGGAAAAGGAGACAGGATAAACATGGGAGAAATAAAGGGAGGCACGAGCAATGGCTTTTGCTTATCCGCCTCACTGCACGACGGTCGATGCAAGGTAAGGTTGAAGTTTGAGGTGAAAGTCAAGGTTGCGTGCGGGTTGAGACGCTGTTATGGTGCCAAGTAACTGGAGCTACCATCCATGAGATGAGTATTTTTTAAAGAAATTGGCGCCACTCCACCTTTAAACATGGACCCTGAAGATCAGAAGACCGAGACTGTTTGATAATAACCCACTGGTCGATGGAACTAGCTCTCAAAGCGTCAGAAGGCATCACCCGGTGTAACTAAGTGAATCAGAGAAGCGAACGAGCAGGCACACTGTCCAATCTCGTCTAGCACGCAAATGCCCTTAGATCATTCTAGTGCCGCAACTTGGAAGTAACTTAGAAGAGCAAACAAAACTCAATGATTCATCTGGATATTGTTGAGAACCCAGTACGGTGCAGGCACGAGTCCAGATGATACAGACAACCGAACATATTACGGCTGTGCTTCTTCGCAAACTTCGTCCAGGGCGCTGCTTTGACTATCAGTTCTGCTGCGCATCTTCATCCGCCGCAGAGCAGTGGTATTTGAATGTGCACTATGCGCCTTATATGCGTAGTGAACCATGGGTTCCCCAATTCCAACAAGCATGAACGTTCTCCCCATTAGCAGTGCACCATAATTTAACGGCTACAATACGAAAGCGGTCGCAATGCGAACTGCGTGTACTACTGCGCCATAGATGCAGCCAATCACGATGTAAATACAGACTAGGGTTAATGGAAGATTCCGGGGGAACACAACCAACAAGATCGCAACTAATTTGACCCCTGGTGAGCGGTCATATGTGGCTGCTTTAGATCGCAGCTTACAATCTGTACACGCTGGATTTGAGTTTCTGCCTCTCGGTAGTATCCTCCTAGCCCGACAGTGAATCATCACCAGAGTATAATAATAGTGGTGTCCTGTTGACAATTTGCTTCGGATTCATAGGGTACAGAATCGGCGCACAGATCGCATGCGATGATAGCGGCAGCTGGATGAACGACAATGCAACAGCAGTAAAACTCACGTGTACGCAGTCCAGACGACCCTCACGCACATCGAACACGTGGATACGGCCTGGGGGTTCCGCCACCCACAATTCATCATCGTCCATCAAGGACATTTTCCGGGGATAGTTGGAAAACTATTGACAAACGGAGAAGCCCGAAAAAAATAAAGAAAGCGTGTATACGTGTTACAGCAAAAGCATTAATGGGATTACGAAATATCAGTACAAAAAATGCATGCAGGATACCAAACGTAGGAACAATTCGGAGTGCTTTTGCTTGCGCATCCTACCAAGTTCCCGATGAGTTGTAGATTAGACTATTAGACCCACGCGTAGGGGCAAGCTCTTTCGACCCGGGGTAGCATCCGTCAACTAAATCCCGTCACCAGTTTTTTCTCCATAGTCTAAACAGCTATAGACGATCCGTGAGTTTGAAACTTTGCTAATGGTGTATCAACGTCATCTGCAAAATATAGTCTCAACTCGCGTCGCGGATCTCATCGTTAACCCACCAGAGCATATTGTCTCAGCCGGCTTGCAAGTACCTAGTAAAACCCTATGACGAGTAGCATGTGCTGCGCACCTCTGAAGAGCCAACTGCCAGGGGTTACGCATTGGGCGATGGTATTTAGTAAGATGGTTGGAAGTAACGTACTCGTATGGATCTTGTTGGAAGGACATACATCCGATGGCTGACTGAACCCCACTATCTAGGCCAGTAAACAGCATCGGAAGATGCATTGCCCATAATATTTCTTCAGTGCAAGCCCTAACTGACTACAACTCGGAAGTTGCCACAGATGAATTCTACCGAAAACTTTCATCCCTCCCTTACGCAACCAAGGATGCGAATGGCGCGCTGGCGGAGACCAACTTATGCTCAAATTGACAGCTTATTGCACGCCAGGGAACGTACATATGCCATGAACAACGTCTGCCCGGCTGAGAATAATCCTCGATTTTACCAGCAGTGCGCTGCGTAGTTGGTGAAGGAAGAGCGAGTAAACCGTTCAGCACCGTTATACCATGCACCAGACTGGGCCACATGTCGCGCATGTCAGCACACCGAATCCCTCGACGTGCGTTGTTTGAGCGCCAGAGGTGCGGGTGGATGACTTGGTCAAAATGAATGAAGGCCCTCTCTTCGAAGTTGGCCTCGGCTAGTGTCTCCCGACTACCAGACTAGGGTGCGAAGGACGATGAACACATCTGGTTGGATACACTGGTTGACACAGCGAAGAGTCGAATTTAGTGGTGTTCGTGTTGGGAATTTCTTTGCCTTTTCCCTCCCGCTTATCTTCCCCATTCGACCACGTGTTTACGCTGCATGGATAACGTGACACAGCATAACATAGCTTGCCTTTCAGTTTTGTATCCTATAATGTTTAGTATCTCGTTCTTCATATATATCATCTTTCGTATCGCGGAACTGCCAGCTCACCTTCAGCTAATGCGTAATGATGATGATACGCTGACAACAGACTTGCTATCAGCAACATTACGCCTCGGTAAAAAGCGTTCATATTGCGTGATCTGGTGCCTACCGAACGAGAAAATGTCTTCGAATCAAGTCGACTGCGCTTCATTCAGTTACAGCTCATGCACACATGTGCCAGCCTATTGGTCGATCTGTAGCAACCTAAGTAAACTTCGATTACGTCTTGAAGTGCTCGGATAGCGCTTAGATTCGAAGTTACTAGCTTATTAACAAGAAGAGCAGTTCGCCAGATAGCAGCAACACTTCGGGGGACGGACAACAGTTATCAGCAATGAATGGGGTGAATGAGCTAGATATCGACTGAAGTCGCTGCCAACGCGTCACGTAGACGGCGGCGAAAACTGCTTGTGACGCGAAGACTGTATGAAGCAGATGCCAATCTCCTTGAAACAAGGATAACGATAAAATCGGGTGTCCAGTTTCGATACTTGTAATGTGATGAAGGTGAAGGAAAACGACCTGAGACTAATGAAACACGTGAGTTGGCTATGAACGCCCGGGCAATAGGGGCAAAGTTAAATGCATTCGGTGTGACGCAAACGATGAGCTGCGTAGTCACAGACAAAAAACGAACCGGATTGGCTCGGACAAAAGTGTACGAGAAGTGCACGCACGAAAACCATCCCAACCTGACGACACGGCGTCCAATGCAGACCGGCCAAGTAGGCGAGTGAAATCGACAGCAGCTGGTGGACAGAATGCCAGTAAAGTGCAGCCGTACCGAGATGAAGTGTTGCACGAATCAGAGAGAACGCGCAGAATTGACAGGAATTGTGTCCCCGGGGAAGTGGAGGCCTGAGTTGGATCGATCGCAGCGGGCGACCGGAATGTGCTCAGGTGAGAATGAGGGCGACAACGGAAAATAGACACTGGAAATCTGCCATGTTAAAGTAGCACTCCTATGAAAGAAGAAAGGCAACAGTAGTACGCCGACATACCGTACCGACAATTTGCTGCTAGGGAAGCACCAACGGTCGCGCGTGGGCTGGATATCGCCAAGGTCACTCGCATCGATGCGAATTCGAACCGGGTGTACAAGGCAAGCGCATAAATCTTTCGGCCATCAGCCGTGTTTTTATTACCGCAGGATTACGCAATAGGCGGTGCTCTAGAATGCCGTGTAGCTAGAAGCCGCAGGATGGGCCGGAAGTGGTGGTGGGAGGGAAGTGGTGGTAGGAGCAATAGAGAAAACTAGTGTAATGGAGAGAAAATAAGCAGAATTTCAACTCATGTGAGGCATGGATCAGCAAAAACATCAGCAAGTGACACAATAGCGAGAAAGGACAGTTAGCTAAACTATCCTAATGTTCAGGAACAATCGGTTAGTCCGTGGCGGGACCACGGTTTGTTGAATCACCTGATTTCGCTTGGGGTGATGATGTTTCAGGTGCCTGCATCGAAACGTTTCAAAGTGGTTTGTTGATAGTGGAGAATAAACATCTGGATCAGACAGTCCGATGATGAATATTGGGTATTTGCTCATCATGGTTGAAAGACGGCGACGACTCATTTGTGACTGATCTGGTCGGTCTATGCAACCCTAGACAGAGCACCAAAGAAATGCCGTGGGACAACTTATGAGAACTGCAGGGGTACTTGTGTTTCTGTCATTGTACTCCAACTGCCTACAAGCATCACACTTCGACGACTTATATTTCTTCAAGGAAGTGAAACCAGCGCAAGCTAGGTTGGTTTTCGCTAAAGTACAATGAACATAGTTCACCTCTCACAGTTCCGCCGGGTGTTTACGCACGGCCAAACAAAAGTTGACTTCGCAGCGTGAAACGAATTCACTGACAATCAAACTCGGTGCCACTGGTTTGTCTCGCCTTCCAGGCTGGAGCCCAAGTGACCCGCCTTGTGTTTGGCTTGAGACGTTAGAAGACATGGCTCGCAGTCGACACCAGTGGCGCGTCTGCTGTCGTCTCTTAGTCGGACTGCCTGTTTAACGTGTGTTAATGCTGAGTTATCTGCGGGTGATGGCTGATTATGACGCGGGGCAATGAAAGCCGCAAGGAAGCTGTCTCGCCGATGCCACCTTATCTTTGCAAGATAGCCAGCTGTTTGTGACGGTATGTTGTTGACAAGGTGTAGGCACCTTGACCCTGAATGTTTGCTTAGGTGAATAAGGGTTTCCCACTTTTATATCTTATTATTTCTTGTTCCGTAGATCGTCGGGGTTGTATGGCAGCAAAGCATCAGTTCAAACGGCTGGTACTGCTACTGTTGATTTATGAGGATGCACATAGACGACCCAGAACTATGGGCTGGAATAACCTATTTTCCGTGCTGGATATATCTGTGACAAACTACCTCTGAAATTATATCAAACTTCCCACTAGTTATTAGTATTCAAAGAAATCCGTCCGTATATCTTCTAAGTGCTGTGTCGTACACAGTTACTATGCGGAAAGTCCTAGCTCTTGGAGCCAACCACTGTTCTCTGCACAGTTCATAACTGGCATGGTAGTGAAGGATGAGCAAGGCTATATCGTAATCAAGTGTCAGTAATGCAGGTCCGCGGCCGTCACCCATGGCTTAGTGGCAAAAGCTGCTGGAAGTCATGGGGTCGGAATCCGGCAGCGGTCCGAGGAAGGCGCACCACTGATGAAACCCAGGTCGAAACAGTTGTCTGGTGCTTTCCCAGACGTGTTGAAGCCTGCTGTCTGAGAAGGGACTGCGACGAACTGTCGAAGAAATTTAAAGGATGTGTTAGCGAAATCCCTATTTACTCCAAATGCCCTTTACAGCGAAATTTGTTGCCGTTTGGATCAACAGGAATACCTTTCATTTCCTACGACACGTAGAGCGCATGCGGCTGTCCGATAACTCCTCATGCTTGTAGATAAAACACCATGAATAACGCTATCCTACCTTCACTTCATCTGGGACATGGACTGCATCTAATGACCAACTAGCAGTTGTAATGCACGTGTGATAAATATCATTGTGCTGGATCCAACCAGCGTGCAAACACGACTAGACGGATTGATGCAGACAGAAGCACGGTCCATCACGGGCACTGCACTGCTTCTCTTGAAAATTAACTAACTGCTCTAAGTGATGGACCGGTACACCTAGTTGAGTGGCTACATCACCTTTGGTGGTCAAAGCATCGAATAGAGTACCAAGCATTCTCACCGGCTAAGCAAAATATGAAGAATGTTAGGTTACGAGCTAACACGCTGTAGCACAGTCAGTGTTAGTGTATCGAGTAGATACATGGCTAATTTACTCTCCAGATATCATGGGACTAGGTGTCATAGACGGTCCGTGCTCGCGTAGCATCGCTTATACCTAGAGGGACTGCTGAGTGAGTGGTGCTGAGGTCCACCAGTCGGTGTTTAATCACAGACTAGCTGGTGAAGCATCTAAATTGCCCACGTTATGTTCTTCATGTGTATGCGGTCCCCCGACCTCGAAATTCGCTGTTTCTGATCGCTGTGTCTAGTTGGATGAAGCCTCAGTGACCCATTAGTAGCCTTGTAAAGAGCATGATGCAACTGATCGAGAGACCAAAGTGAGTTGACGAATGCCGTCCACATGAATAAGGATCTCAGGATGGATTGGTGTTTAAAACTATTATCCAATGTGGTGCTGCTGCATCGTCCACTGTTTCTAACCGTTAACTCTTCCTATTTAAAGTCGGACTGTTTTGCTCCATCCGAATGGCCTGATCCGCAAGACCGTGAAGAGCTAGTTTAGCTCGAAAATATGACGACGGCGTGCAACAGGTATGTGACTTAAGTCAGGGATAATGAGCCCCATAAAGCTTAAAAGGTTTTTTGTCGGTATCGTGTGATATAATGGGATCAAAATCAAGAACAGATGTGTTTACGGATGCGCAATATATTGTTCATTGCCGGTCACAGACAGCCGTGTCTCCGCCCCGTTAGGGACAACTGATGGTAATCGTCCTCTGAGTGAAAATAGCTATGATGCATCACGAAGAAAACAGCACCAACAAGAAATAAAAGGCTACGTGTGGTAACCATACCAATGGTATCTGGAGAACATGCATCAGTACAAAGCCGAAAGCATTTCGCACTGCTGATCATCAGTTAAGCCACCCATTCCTCTTACCGCGAACCCAAAAAGGGTGAAAGCTTGGCAACGTTTGACAAAGGGAAGTAACAGAACGCAGAAAGCATTAAAAGCATTCTATTACTAATGTGCTTCACACCTGATAACTCTTCACCGCCTTCGAAGGGTTGCGTAAATCCCACCCAGACAATGTGCGATCATTGCTACCGGTGAAGAGGGAAATTGCCGACGAAACCACTGACGATACGCAAGGGCCCTCTGAAGGCAATGAAGGAACGGTGTTTGGCATCGAAGGATCTAAACTGACGCTTGGTTTGTCGCCTGAAGATTCCTCTGGTTGAACGTCGGGGTCGATTTCAATTAAGCCCAATAGAGAGGGTAAGTCCTCCAAACTGGCACCGATGGAAGACAGATCCGAAAGAGATTCATTACATGAAGATATACAATCTCCACTGGCAGGAAAGCCGCCCCAGTTCCACGTGCCTGTATCGTAGGGAAGTGCAGCAGGTGAGCCGCTGTTTCGACAGTCCATACACAACACAGCCTTCTTGTGAAGTAAACGAATGCCTGTTTGGCTAAGAGGCGGTGCTCGTATATCAATGATGTGCACCCAGTGGTTCGCTCCAACGGCTACTGTATGTGGATCCATAAAAGCAGAGCACAGCACTTGAGCAGACAATCTGAACAATGGAGAGTAGGATCAACAAGCTAACCCCGCTATAAGTAGTAACAAATCATGATAGCTAGTCAACACGTTGCTCAAAGAAATCCAAAGATAGCGAGAAGCACAGAAGGCTGTAACATATCAACAATGTGGCCAGATAGCAGGACCATCAAATGTCAAAAAGTGATAAAGTAACCAATGCTTGTGACAACGGCTTCCCACGCTGAAACGGTTGGGATAAAGGAGGTAAGTTGGTTCAACCGGGATGATACCCATTACAGCGTTCAGTGGTGATTCCGAGTGCGTGACGAATAATGAAGGTTAGATGCTAACGAATATCTCCGGTCTGGTGATTTAATAAACAATCGTCCAAGCACCAATGTGCAGTATATGGGGTTTGTATGGCCTACGCGGCAATCATCATAGGAAATGATGCGCACTAGACCTACACAAGACGGTAGATGAGCCTTAGCGCATTCCACACCAAATGCGTGGAACCACTCTTTGACTCTAGGACGGTCACGATGACAGTGCAGCCTGTCTCTCTAAGCAACGACTAACTGTCTCCCGGAGCGGTTTCCACATCAAGCGCAGCCGGACCGGGGATATCAAACAAACAACACAAAATCGGAAGAAAAATAAACTCGCCAAAATTGACAAGAAATATGAAGGAGAACAGCAGAACTCAGCAAAGCAAATAAAGTGAAATACATTTTATTCAGATTCAGAAGATCTAGCTTAAGAGTAAACCGGTGTAGCCTAACTGCAGCGAAAGAGCATACATATGCGTGTCAGTGTATTTGGGGCTGATGTTGCATTCATGATGCTTCTTCACCGCGGTTGAACTAAACCAACTTACACTTAAACTAGGTCTTTTTAAGCTGGATTAATTTTATTCCACTTTCTTTGGTTTGTTCTGCCTATCTGAATAATCTTCTATCAAGTAGCACTCGTTGCTTACGCTAAATGCGCTTATTTTCGATAACTTTGTTGAGTTTGCAGCGTCTTTAAGTAACTTGTGAACATTTTTACTTATCGCGGATTCGTGTCTAACCAACTTACTTCATATGCTAATTTAGAGAACAGTTACGTCACCGTATCTCTATGCATTTTCGATTTATTTTATTTCATCTTGTCGTTTCAAGTGATTGGCTGTTGCTTGATATCCCCGATGTGGCTGCGCTTGAAGTGCATGTTGACAACGTTCCTATCTGCCTATTACCCACTACCTCGTCCATACTGGCTCCAGGAGACAGTTGGTCGTTGCTGAAGGACGGGACGGGGTGCACGGTCCTTGTGGTCGCACTAGGCTCGAAGAGTGGTTCCATGCACTCAGTGTGGAGCGGACTACGGTCCAGCCACCGCCTTGTGTGCGCTTGATTCCCCAAATACAGCGTGCTTGTGTTTATCTGTGAAGGAGTGTAGGCCGGCTCCGTTGATGAAACGTGGCTCCCATCCACATGTCTGCCAGACTTATCCCTTCGGGTTTACACTGGATATGGGGTGTGTGGTTGGAGCTTTGGGTGGTGCAGCGCAAGTCACCCATGTTCCCTCTCTAGGCGCAGGCGTCCTGTGGCTGGCAACACTGACAGGTAAATCCGAAACCGGATGCCCCCAATCATATGGGAACAGACATAGAGCCACCCAATACCATGGAAATGAATATCAAAAATAGTAAGGTGTAGGCAGCCGCATCAGTAAATCTGCCATTTGAACTGATGCTTCGCTGCCATAGAACAATAACGACCTATGGAACGAAGAATAGTAAGAAGAAGAGCAGGGGGACTTATCTGAAAACCTTCATGCACTAAGTAAGCATACAAGATCAAGGCCCTTATACCATGTGTTAACAACATACCGTCACAAACAGCTGGCTATCGTGTAAAGATAAGGCGGCATCAGCGGGACAGCTTCCTTGCGACTTCCAGCGCCCTACATCATATTCAGCCATTACCCCGCAGATAACTCAACACCAAACACATTTTAAACAGGCCGTCCGACTAGACGGCAGCAGACGCACCAGTGGTGCCGGCTGCGAGCCAAGCACAATGCGAGTCATGTGGACTTCAGCACGGAAGGCGAGACGGACCGGCGGCAACAAGTTTGGTTGTCAGTGACTTCATTTCCCACTGCCAAATTACGTGTGCCCACCTCGAGCCTGGCGCCACTCTATATTTGGCAAACAAAACAAGGCCCTCCTCGGTAAGCGGTGACCGTGTATACGTGCCCTAGCCAACGCAATTTATTCAGTGCTATCTGTTGTTCTAGGCAGCTAGCATGATTACCACCACCTACTACTCACCTACGCACATCACCGTTGCGTACACGCTGGTGCCAACCGACACCGACAATGCTCCGCAGACAACGATGATTGAAAACATGAAGGCGCCTCAGATCTTCAGAGTGAATGGGCCAAGTCCCACTACCATAGGGCAGGACGGCCCTCACTGTGGCCTTGTAAACACGGCATTTCAGACGGAAAGAAGCTCCATTGTATCGCCAAAGAAGCCGTAGGTTCAAGAATGCAGCTCTGGCCTTTGCAACGCGTGAACTGACTTCAGTTTCTATGCGCCCAAGGTAAGTGAATCGATCAACCACTTCGAGTTTCTGGTTATCAATGGTCAAAAAGTCAGCGAATGGCTGGTGGTCCTGCAGCAACACTGCATTTTGAAGATGCGAAGCGCATACCAAATAATGGGACCACTCTAGTCAGGCTATTCAGGGTTGATTGTGCCGCTCCAACATCATCAAAAAGCAAGACGATATCGTCCGCATAATTAAACTAACCTTTCACCAGGCAGCATCTGAACACCAACGTCGTGAGATTACGCATGATAGAATCCACAACGAAAATGAGCAAAAATAAGGAATCGGACAACCCTGACGAACGCCACTTGTGGTCGGAAATTTATCCGACAGGTCAGACGCTACCCACTAACTCTGATGAGATTTTGCAGGTGGACAATAGCATACCTGTAGTCAGCAGCAGTTTTCAGCGATGCACTAATACGCTCGCACTACAATGCTTCGCTGCTGTGCAGCCGCGAGTGGCTGCATTCGGGACGGTACACTCTAAGGGCGCCCAAAGCATTCGTGGTGATCCACTGGAAGAAAATTGGATGCATTGAAAACACCTAAAGCTGCTGATAACATCATCAGAGATGCCAAGATGACTACTGCAATTGGGGCTCGAGTTACGTAGCCAGAGATTCGCTGAAATGTTAGTGCTGTGTATACAAGTTTCGGAGACATGGCACATAGCAAGCCAAAATGATCAGGAGAGAGTTAATATGTTGGATACCTGACATCGAAAGCGTAGCAAGGATAAGAAAAACGAATCCTTGGTGTGGAAGAAAATCCAGGCACGCTGCTAGTATAGTGGGACAGATTAAGTGTAGCATTTCATGTTAACTTGGGAAAGATATAAACAAAGAGAAAAACGAAGTCGTGAAGCCCCAAACAAGGCACCTCATAGTAACACAAATCATGTACACAAGGGGACTTCAAATTAGAAAAGCGTCGAACTGCGATTTTAGCCTAAGAAAACAATCAATCAAAGGTTATGTAACAATTTCGTCAGAGTAAACTTATAATTCACATTAACAATACTGCATATAGACTAGGAAAATCAGAATACACGGTTCGGATGGGTAAGAGTTTATGACTGTAAGACAAAACCAGCTGATGACTGTACTTGTATGCCGTCTGCAGCTGCAATCCCGAGGAGGACAGGGCCCACTGCAGCAATGTGCCGTCCCAAGAACCCGTAAGTAAGGAATGACCTGATGAAACGATAGTCCAAATCCAACCCTGTGACAAGGATAGAGACAGGACATGATTAAGATATAAACGGACACCAGGCAAAGGTAAATAAATATCGCTCGGTTCAATAGATGGCGAGGCTGTTTTAAAGGAAACAGAGTGCGGATCCAGGTTATTCTGGTGCTCCCTAAAGAAAACATAGAAGCTGGCATAGCACATATACCATCGGTGAATCATCAAGTTTTGCTATTGTGCTTACGCAAACAGTTGATTTGGCAATCTCTCGAAGAGGCAAGCCGTACGAGTGAAAACAAAGCGATCCTTAATGATGATGCTCCTAGACCTAAAAAGCCGCATGATCCTCCCCATCGTCAATACGTGTTAGTCGAGGGTGAGAAACACACCATGGCTAATGTGCCGCAATAAAAAAGGTAAGATATTAGGTAATGTAGACTAAAAAACTATAAAAGGTAAAGTAATACTAATATCACATTTGTGAGCGTTGTTGGATGGGGAAGCTTGATGCGCGATGCAGCAGATTGGGCGCCGTTGATTATCTTCTGCGGCGGTCAGAGCGTCAAAAGATTTTGTGAAGAAACCATAATGTTGTATTGCGCGGGAAGGATATTGTCAGGTGGCCCAGAACTAGACAGAACGACTAGGGTTCGCAACCAAAGGCCCTGGTTCAAAATCTGACTACAAGGCAGTGAGGTTTTGGCAATGGATTACAGAGAGCCCGTTTTAAGGAACAAGGAGCCACCCTCACTTCAACTCCTAGCCTGGAGGACCAGGAGACCGAGTTTGTCAGGTCTCTAACCATTGACCAATCTGATATGAGTGGCTCTGAGAGTGCAAAAGCACCACGCAGCATAGCTCAATGCAGGTCATCGCACCGCATTAAGGTTCAGTCACGTCGCGATGGCCAGTCTCGTCGCGGTAGCCTAAAAAGCCGCAAGAGTTAGAGAACCGCGAACCAATCGATCCAGGCCATCTACACCCACTCAATAACGACGCACCAACCAACATGCTTCAGTAACTTGTGGCTTAGCTAACCAATATATTTCCAGAATGTGACCAGAGAATCAAATGTGTCCATCGTAATAAGGACTCCATACCAGAATCTGTAACTAACTGCTGGCTTCTAGCACGACTAGAATTATGTAAGATCGCTAAGAAAACGCACGCAAAACGACAGTTGCAAAAAACTGTTTGCCAACAAGTTGCTTCAGCAGGAAAGGGAAATGCTACTCTTCGCTGACCACATAGCTAGACAGTAGATGAAGCAAGACATGTTGACCATGGTGAATTTTTACTCAGTGAATCCGTCCCGGATTTTGTAGAGGTCGTGGCTGCATTGACCACATCTTCACTTTGCGTCAGTTGTTGGAGCACCGTCACATATATTGGCGGCCCACCGTTGTCGTGTTCCTCCATATCAAAGGTACATTCGATTCGGTGGATAGACACGCACTTTGGGACTGTCTACTCAGGAAAGGTGTATCTAAGAAATATGTAAATATTATCCGAGCATTATATGCGCGTAGCTCGGGCAGAGTTAGGCCTTACGGCAAGCTGTCGTCGCTCTTTAATATCTCCAGCGGTGTGAGACAAGGATGCCCGCTGTCACCTTTCCTATTCAACTTCGTTATTGACGAAGTCATGGAAATCGCGTTTACAGGACAGGAGTTAGAAGGTGTGCATCTGCTCCTAGGAGAACGACTTCTTGACTTAGAGTATGCTGATGATATTGCCCTAATCTGTGACAGCTCACAAACGTGCCAAGCGGCACTGGACAGATGAGCACTGGCTGTCCGTCACTTCGGGCTTTACCTCGCACCCCCGAAGTGCAAAGCGTTCCACCAAGATTCGTCTGGACCGCCTCCTTCGCTGACCCTTGGTGGGGATCAGCTAGAAGTCGTTCAAAAATTCAACTACCTGGGAAGTTGTATCAGCGCCTGTGGGATTGAAGATGAGATCACGAATCGTATAGCAAAAGCTCGGGGCACTTTTGCTAACCTTCGTCACTTATGGCGTCGGCGCGACATCACTCTTGCCCTGAAGGGTAGAGCGTATAATGCACCGGTACGTTCGAGCCTACTGTACAACCGTGAAACCTGGCCCCTTAAAGCAGCGGACCTGAAGAGGCTAGTTACGTCCGACCACCGGTGCCTTCGCAATTTAGGTCATCTGGTGAAAACACCGAGTTAGCGACGGGCGCGTTCGACGCTTTGCTTACGCAAAGGAAAAGGAAATGAACCGCTCAGCATTGTCATTTTACGTACCAGGCTCCGATGACTCGGCCACGTGTTAAGCATGCCAGCCCACCGGCTCCCGCGACGTGCGTTGTTTGCGCGCCGGGGGTGTGGATGGAAGAAGAGTAGGCGTGGCCAAGCGATGAGTTGGTCGTGAGGAATGAAGGGCCTCACTTCGGAGCTGGTCTCGGATCCATGGTGGGGTCCGAGAGACGATGAACTCGTTTGGCTGGATACACTTGCTGATATGGCTAGGAGCCGACCTCAGTGGCGTTCGTGCTGTGACTTTCTTTGTCCCACCCCATCCCTCTTAGCCTCCCCCTCCAACCACGATCTCACTATTTAGCCTTATATAATTCTGCATAGTAATTTTTTTGATAGATAATAGCCGGCTGGTAGCTTGTCGGAACGATGCCCATCCGTTGCTGATAGCTCAGCTGGCTTGCACCGGTTGCGTTTTATTCCCCCTTTTTTCTGCTATATATTGCGGCACAGTAGCTGAGGTGTTTCCCACCTCTAGCTGACGTGTATAATGATGATGAATCCGTCTCGATGAGACTAAAAATGGCAGCAGCACTACGCCAGTAAGTAGCACCGAGGCTCTGCTGCGGCGCAACCACCACCGGTCACACGTGAGCTAAGGACACAGCGAGTGACGCCCTGCCCCTACGTCGGCTCGAATTCGCGCCGTCCGACTACAAGACAAGTTCGTTACCTTTACGCTACGGGCCGGCCTCGACGAGACTGCAACGTAACGCAATAGTGTGTGTACCGCTGTGATCCATTAAGCTACGCTGGGTGGCACTTTCCAAGTGCCTTCAGGGTCACTCATACCAGACAGGGGTTAGACTGACCCAGTCTCACAATCCTCTTCGAGAGTTGGGGAATAGTAGATGGACATCTTCATTTAATATGTGACCATGGGAGAAGAGAAATGTGCAGCAGGAGTAACACATTGTCTCTCACGGTGGGAGAACACAGCCCAGTGCTCAATGGTTTTCTACCACCGGTACCAAGCCAGGCATCCTCTGGTCAAATGGGTCCAAACCCGCCATCTTTCATCTGCAGTTGGCCGTGGTCGCAGGTGCGTAACACATAACCGTCAAAAACATGTGAAAGGTTTTAGAATTTATGTTCTCCCCGCTTATGGTCAACAGCAGCTCAATGGTCACGCTTGACGGAAGTCAGAGTCAAATTCAGATTTTGTTGTTCTCCGAGCTGAACAGTTTCGTTGCAAACGTTTCAATCACTAATCGTCGGTAAGAGTCGACAAAACAACTGTTTGCTTATTACGCACTGAAGTCACCAAGATTAGTGATGAAACATTTGCAACGAAGCTGTTTAGCTCGGAGAACAGAACAAAATCTGAGCAGGCCACCCGAGCTAGAGGTATTCCGATCTATTGCTCAGTCAAATTGTTGTTGTTCGATGCCCAGCGACTACAACTTTCTCACTTCACCGAAACCCCGGATTTTCTCCAACCCGATACTCCATTCGGTCTTGCAGTGTTCAATGTTCGCGCTCTGATGCAGATCGGATGGCAAGTACGTCTGACCCGCAATCTTGAGACGGTTTCAGTAGACATCTGCTGCCTCTCAGAAACTAGACTGCAACAGAACGACATCTTCAGAAAACCCTGACGTCAAATACCATTTGCGCCTTTTCGGGTACCCAGGGGCTGCTGCTTCTGGTTAGGCTGGTGTTGGGGTCGGTCTGACAAGGATGGGTGCGCTCGGCACGACTGGGACTCAGTCAACTGTCAGATATGTGCAGTCAGACTACGAGATTCATGTAAGTTAAGTAAGCATCGAGATGTTACTGGCGCCTTAGGTGTCGTCTCCGCCCACGCTCCTACAAACTGCAACCCGAGTGCAGTCAAGGATTGCCTTTACCAACAGCTAGATGACCTGCCTTCCGCTAAAAAGTCTAATATTATCATTCTTGTCGGACATTTAAACGCACGAGTGGGTCGCCTGCCACCAAGTGAGCACCATTTCGGGCGTAGTTTTGGACTCGGTAACAGCCCATTAGCCACTGGAGACAGACAGCTAATTCTTGTGGTATGCGTCCGGTCGAAGATTCCATATCCAATCCGTACGTGGATCCTAACAAACAAGGGTTCAAATGCAACTAAACACCTTGTACGCAGTTAGATAATTTCAACACAACGGAGCTGGATGGATGATGCTTCTGACTAACACCAAGTGAAGAGTTTCATTCCGTCGTAACCAATACCCAAGCAGGACCGAGCCTGAGAATCGTGGATGGACAGAACACGCACGTAAGAAGGCTTTTCAAAGTTATCGAAAATGGTGAAGAGTCAAAAAGAAGTGCAAAACAAGCATGTTTTAAGCGAGCCTTTACAACCTTTCACTTGTTGACTAGCTACAGACACATTTTGGTCTGCCACATTACTCATGTTCGCACGAAAAGCACGGTTTTTGTGCTGTTGATGCAAACTAACGACTGTTTCGACTGAGGTGCACCATATTTACTTGAAGATATAGAAGCTGCGGTGCAAAAAAATTGAAAAGGAGTGCGAGGGGGGAAGGGGTATTTTGTCTTGTGACTAATCAGCTATATTTTGAGCCCGTCGGACCGGCAATAAGCCTAGGAGGAAATGAATGGCACAAGTCACAAAAATATTCCATGGGATTTGAAGAGTACAACCCTATAAATTATCAACTTACAGTGTGCTTGCGGCAATCAACGAAGAGAGGAATCCACGAATTGCCGTCCCTAGCAGTGTCAAAAGAGAAGGCGGTTATGCTTCTTCCTCTATCACCAACTACAAGCAATCCCGGTGCGACCTAAACTTCGTCTCAGTGTAAGGCTATTTACCGGTGGGATGTGCATAGCATCTATGCCGAAGGAAACGGCGTAGGGAAACACAAAACTGCGTCCACAATGCGACGCACCACACAGCGATACGCAGTTCTCATGATCAAGGTTCGCGGTGATCCAGTCAACTTTCTTCGCTGAAAACCATATCACAACTAAAAACTAACCAGGGATACATGGAAATGCGCCTTGGTAAGCACAAAGCAGACGTTTTTTCCAAAACGAAGAATTAAGAAAGCTGGAGAAAATATGGCAGACTGCCTTTAAGGAAACTAAATCGCCAGCAGATAGGTAAGCACAAATGGCGTAAAACACCTCAGGAGGCACATCTTGGAAGCAAGCCATTTAACACGTGAGTCAAGGTAAGATCAACTTTCAAGGGCAGGTCGGGTTGACATCTAAGGACGCAATAAGTTCAATCTAACAAATTCGTTTACTTGGGTCCCATACCATAGCATTAAATTTATGTGTTTCTTCTTGTGCGTACCGTTGGCTAGAATTTATAGGCTTGCGTGGCATGCAGATAAGATTAACACAAAGGCCGCAGAACTCCTTG